AATGCAAGGATGACAGGCTAATTAAGCTTGAAGCATTGTCAATTCATTAAATGGAACATCGTAACGGCCCGTCCACACAGTAGCTTTAAAAAAATATTCCAACGCTTCCAACGCTTCTCTCCCCATTCACTTTGAATGGGGTGACGTCACTTTGCCTCGCTTTTCGCCGAACTGCATTGTGAGGCTCACAATGCAGTTCGGCGAAAAGCGAGGCAAAGTGACGTCACCCCATTCAAAGTGAATGGGGAGAGAAGCGTTGGAAGCGTTGGAATATTTTTTTAAANTATAGAGACAGAACACATATCTTCCCCTTGCTGAGAGACAGCAGGTCTGAACCTGCAATCAATATCACTATAGCGATGTCACACTACCTCAAGATAAGACTTGCCAAACGCGATTGTACTTCTAGCACAAAACTTCAGCTCAGACTATCCATATATGTTTGGATCAGACAGATAAAACTGTGTGGGTGACAAAGGAAAATGAGTAACCATAGCGGGGCTATATAAATACATATGGAACAGTAAAGAAGCAGAAAAATGCTATACTAAAAGCTCTAGAATGGCAAGAAATGGCGGTTGAGGGCGAAAATCAGGAAATCACAGAGCAAAGGTGAGGAGGATGTTTGAACACATGCATAAAGAATAGACAACTATAATAATAAGATGCAATGTGTGCAAGGGCATCCCAAGGACATGTATAAAAACACTGAAGCAGATTCATACCAGGAATAGAATTGAAGGATAATTAGTACCATGTAAGATTACCAGCATGAGAACGTAATGGTGAAAGATGCATCAGGTAAGAGGTAATAGAGAACCCAAATCAGATGAGTGAAACAACAGAGGGTGACTTGCTACGCTTTGTGAATAAAGATTAGAGGATAGTAAGGAAGGAGATGACCTTACAGAAGGCATTAGACGCACGGAGCGCCTCATTATAAACCTCTAATCGTATGCGCGGGTCGGAAGGGGGGAGAGAGGGCCTTGGTGAGGCAGGCCAATCCTGAAGAGATGGCGGCGTCACTTCTAAGAAGCAAGCCTATTAATGCACGTGGGAAATAAAGGCAATAGGGCTGCGTTTTATCAGCCCTCGCCGGGAATGCAGTCGAAAACGCAACATTAGAAGCATGACATTTGTGTTTACACAGCCCGACACGTTCGTCCCAGTCTATTAAATTTGCTTTAATGTACACCGGAACATTACACATTGGGCGCGTTGTGTCTATATCGGCTATTCCTTCCCACTTCTATTTGTTTCTTATCGGTAACACTTGAATGAACGTGTGTTGGAAATTTAGTAACTTTCGGACTTGTGAGAAGAATTACATGACGAATTGGGCTGCTCTAAAAAATACACGACCTTGTGATCTTTTCTATTTGAAACATTCAGCAAAAATGGAGACACGTGATTGACTGCGGGCTTATACATACCAGAGCAGAAGGATCTGTAAAGTTCTCACAGTTCCCTCCATCGTGTAAGTATTGAACTGAAAGATTCATCCGGAAAACAAACCTTACGCGTGTCTCTCGCTGCTCTCTTTACCAGTCACAGTCTTAGACACGCACACACGCACAACACACACCACACACACACACACACACACACCCACAACACACACACACACACACACACACACATAGAACACACAAAACACACACACACCACACAACACAACACAACACACAACCACACACACACACACACATCACAACACACACACAATACCCATAATGGGATCAGCAGATGCATATGGCAAAAAGGGAAATGGACTATGTTGGTTAGCATATGCTGCTATTAACCTCTCAAGACACTGATGTCAGAAATCCTGCAAAGATACCACGAAAAACTACAAAATTAAAAATATATGCAAAATCAACTGTCATTGAAGCACAAATATCCCATCTTTTGCTCTTCCTGAATGTACCAATGTACATATAACTTTAATCAACTCGCAATATAATTTTGCGAGCTAATTAAAGATCTACTACTTCCACACTGTCATCATAATCTTATCTCACTGTCATAATGGTCCATACCTGATGATAACTGCCTTTGGAAACATACATAAGTTAGTGACCCCCCTCAAGGGGGAATCAATGGTATCTTAATGACATATCATTATAAATAGAGGCTCTGAAGTAAGGGGAACGATTTTAATGGAAACACATCTTCACCTCAGAAGCAAGGAGTGGATATCACAGAGCTGCTGACCATGTTCCTTCATCTTCTCAGCAGTATTTTGGAACAGATTATCCCACTAACACACTACAAGAACAATATACTGTACATAGACGTGTATTCATACTCCGGACAAGTGTTGGCAGTCAGGGTTGCTATTTATTTGGCAGAGATGAGTTATGTAATTGCCATAGGGTCCATGCTGGTAATATTATTTGAACCCGACGGGAAAGAGGATTCGATGATTCATGCTGAACTCGTACAGCTCCCGGTTTAGTTATACATGAAATGGTTTTCTGGAGTCTGCATTCAAATGCCTCAGGAATGTACGTCACACACCAGCGGGTCTTGAATGTTAATTTTCTCTGTACAGGCTGCCTTTCATAACTTTATCTGCTTTACGCCATTGGTGCAATGATAGCTTACGGGATGACTGATGAAATACAGAGATAAAGTAATGCTTGAGCAGAATTATAACTTCTGCTTTGATTCAACGCTGGTTGTCAGTTTGTATTCATTGTAACCATAACAGCGTAAATGCATCAATCGAAAATAGCCTAACCATGTAATTTTGTGGTATTTGTCATTCAATGTGTGGACTATGCTTTACGCTTCTGTAAAACATATTTTCATTAAAATAGAAATTTGAATTATCTCAATTAAATGGAACAAATAAAGTTGACAATATATTGAAAAGCAATTTATTTATTAACAGCTAGTAATTTCTCACTTTTAATACTCTTGAATCTTATTTGTAAACTTATTTTTCACGTCAAGTTTGTTCACGTCATGTTGCAATTATTTATATATTTTCATCTTATTTGATTTTAGAGATGTTAAATTTTACCAAGCTGTCTCTGATTCTAGTTTTCAAAAGCATGACATACATGCTGCCTGTTCAGAAATATGAAATATATTATAATCCTGCTTCCTTTTACCTCTTTGATCTACAAGTAAGTGTCCCATGGGTTTTGGGCTTGGGGGGTTGTGAGTCATCATTCACAGATACAAGAGTTTTCTATCACAGTTCTGACATCTTTACACAATCAGGATATGGAAAAGTTTCTGAAGTGTGAGGGGTTGAGCTGACGATCACCACAACAATAGGTTAAATTAACCCATAAAATCTGCATGCAATTTCTTTCATCAAAGGAGGGTCAACTTAAAAGGTGGGGGTAGGTAAGTTGGAGAAACCGGCTCGAGATACACCTTTTTGTTATATTCAATGGAATGCTCTTAACATCTCGAAGCAATGAATATCTGAAGTGCTTTGACAAAAAATCCATAAAGAAAGTCATCTGTGGAAGCCGTAGTAACATGTAAAAGCACGACCAATCATTTTAGCCGGCCTGGCTAAAATAAATGGATGGGCCTACCTGCCTGTCAG